TCCAATTTCAACAGCACGTTTGTAAAATGAAAGTGCTTTCGAGTACTCGCCCATGTTGTCATGTACTTCACCTATGTTGTTATAGGTCTCACCCAGATTGCGATGATATGGACCAAGAGTTTTTTGATCAATCTCAATCGCTTTTTCGAGAAACCAAAGTGCGTTCGGATAGTCACGCATCTTGGAATACACTTCACCAATGTTATTGTAAGCATTACCCAACACTCGATGAATCGGAGGAAGGGTTTTTTCCTCAATTTGAAGTGCTTTTCCATAGAACGAAAGTGCTTTTGAGTACTCGCCCATGTTCTTGTATGTCCAACCAATGGAGGTATACGAATCAGCGAAATCAGGGTGGTTCGAAGGGAGAGATTTTTCGCGGATTTCAAGTGCTTTTACGCAAGATGAAAGTGCTCTCGAGTATTTGCCCATCTCGTCATACACTGAGCCAATGTTGTTGTAGGAATAAGCTAAATCAGGATGATTCGGAGGCAGAAATTTTTGGCGGATTTCAAGGGCTTTTTCATGAGCCGAAAATGCTTTCGAGTACTCGCCCATTTGGGCGTATAGCGAACCGTTATTATCGTAGGAGTAAGCTAAATCAAGATAGTTTGGAGTGATAGATATTTGATGAACTTCAAGGGCTTTTACGTAAGACGAAAGGGCTTTTGAGTATTCGCCCATGTTCTCATACACCGAGCCGATATTGTTATACGACCGAGCCACATCGGGATGATTCAGAGGAAGAGATTTTCGACGGATTTCAAGTGCTTTCTCGTGAGCCGAAAGTGCTTCCACGTATTCGCTCATATTGTCATACACCAAACCGATGTTGTCGAACGAGCGAGCCAAATCCAGATGGTTCGGAGGGAGAGACTTTTGACGAGCTTCAAGTGCTTTTTCGTGAGCCAAAAGTGCTTTTGAGTACTCGCCGATCTGAGTGTATACCGAACCGATGTTCTGGTAGGAATAAGCTAAATCTGGATAGTTAGGAGCGAGAGATTTTTGATGAATTTCAAGGGCTTTTAAGTAAGACGGAAGAGCTTTTGGGTATTCGCCCATATTGTAATACACTGAGCCCATGTTATCATGCGACCGAGCCAAATCGGGATGATTTGGCGGTAGAGATTTTTGACGGATTCTAAGGGCTTTTTGATGAGCCGACAGAGCTTTCGAGTACTCACTCATCTTGGTGTATACAGAACCGGTGTTATCATAGGAATAAGCCAAATCGGGGTGGTTCGAAGTGAGAGATTTTTCATGGATTTCAACTGCTTTTTCGTAAGATGAAAGTGCTTGTGTATATGCGCCCATGTTCTCGTACAGCGAACCGATGTTGTTGTACGAGTGAGCCAAATCCTGATGGTTTGGAGGGAGAGATTTTCGACGGATTTGGCGTGCTTTTTCATGAGCCGAAAGTGCTTTCGAGTATTCGCCCATCTGTGTGTATACGAAACCGATGTTGTGGTAGGAATAAGCCAGATTCGGATGATTTGGAGCGAGTGATTTTTCGCGAATTTCAAGAGCTTTTTCATAAGCCGAAAGTGCCTCGAGGCGATCTCCTTGATTGCCTTTGATCCATCCAAGCTGATCATAGCAATCTGATGTATTAGTCAAATCAGAGGTTTCATTGAGCAACAACTGATACAGTCGTTCGGCCTGATCATATTTGGCTAGTTTCAACAGCAGTTGACCCAGTCGATTCCATCCTTTACCATCAATCTCTTTGCGCATTTGTGTAGTCAATGCATTGAATTCTGTGTCGGTATTATCGGTCAATGTTAGATTCACGTGCCAGAGCCGACTGTTGCGATCAACCTGTGTGATCTCACCAATGCGGAAAACAGTGTGTGTTGAGAAGAGAATCTCTTCTTCTGAGTTCTGGTAGTAGCTGACGTTATCGAGTAGGGCGAAAGGAGCAGAAGAGAATGATGAATTGATGGTCATGATAAAGAGGACGCCCACAGAATCGAGTTTTGTAAGAGCAGAACGTGCAAATCTCATAGAAACGGCTCGATTTTTGCTGGCCGATAAAAAATTGTTGAAAGACATAAGTCCTCCTTTTTTTGTCTGCTTGAGTTTTTGAAAGTCTGTCTGCGATAATCCCTGCCCTCGGTAGACGATAAAGGGTACCTGCATGTGATGCTGGTAGCCACTCATTTGTTCATTGTGGAGCTGTTGGATTTGACGGTGCAGATGACGGATAAAGAAGCCCATTTTTAAGATAGTGTCCACTTCGAGATTGCGTAAAGCTCGATTGAGTATTGAATAGAGGAAACATTCGAAAGTGTACCACCAGATAGGAGTATAACGACGAAATTCTCGTTCAAATTTAGTAATTTCAGAGTCATCGATGCTCTGTTGACGACAATAATCGGCGAGTTCTTTAATGCATTTGACGTCGTCGTAGTTCATATCCAGTAGGACTTCTCGAAATAATTGGGTATACATGAAGGATGGATCGACTCGATCAAAGCTCATGGGAATGCAATCTCGATCACATTCCTTTCCGGCCTGTTGCAGTGCCTCACAAATGCGTTCAATTTTAGTGAAAATACCCTTCACTTTTGGCCAGTCCTTTGCCCACTGTTTGTGGCATGACTTATCACCACAGAATACAAAAATGGAATGTAATTGGGGCATATCATGTATGAGAGGTACAATAGTTTGTCCCAGAGTATCAGAGACAATTATAAAGACATTTTCAGTTTTAATTTCCGTAATAAAATGCATGCATTGCTCTGTATTTGTAAAAGTATCGATATAATTAACAATGCGATGCAGATGAGTCATAGAATTGCCAAAATCGTTCTTGTATTCATCGATGTCGGCATCTAGCCAAACCAGGAGAAAATTTTGTATAATACGGCGTCGATTGACGGTGTTCATTCGTCGTAAAACAGCAGAAGCACTAGCCATAGTACTTTCAGAAGAGATAAACAATTTATTGGTCGTCTCTTTGGAAGTGGAACTACTAGCTATCGTCGGTTTCTTATTGTCCATATTATATATTGAATTGAATTGATCAAAGAAAGACTGATTGACTACATGTGATTGGTAGAGAGGGAGAAAGGAAGGTAGGCTTCACTGTTAATATGATCGTTCTTTGGTTGATTTTTTTAGCCACTGTTTTGTCTCATTATCGATCGTGTTTCTCCTTCATATGCAGGCAGATACAGCAAGAAAACTAAAAAAAAAGCTCTCATTCGTGACGAACGAAAAAAGGCAATTAAGCGTTGTTATTGTCGCAACCACATGTCGTCGATGTACGTATGTATACAGCAATCAGACTCAAGGTGTGTTGTTTCGATTAATGTGAGACGACGAACAGAGACAATCAGCCGGTTCTTTTTTTTTATCGAATTAATTCAAGAATTTTCCTTATTTTTTTATTCTGACTGATTTTCTGTTCTTAAGAGGCGACTTAATCTTGCCAGATGTTTTGTCCGATCAAAAAACGGACAGAAAAGTTTATGAATAATTAGTATGAGGGTATAATGTGAGAAGAAAATAATATTAATACAATAAAAAAATGAAATATATAAGTTTATTTAAATGAAAAATGAAAATACATATACAACAGGATATTTCGACGTTGTACAGATTTTAATTAAACGGTCATCATCAGCTGGGACTTATCAAAAAGACTGAAATCAATAAATAAATATATAAACATCAATATCAAATAGTTTCAATAACATGAACATAACATTAGTAACAAATATAATAAATATAACATGATCTTAATATCATCAACATTACCATCACGTTAACCTTAATATAAATATTAATATCGAATACATAATCTGCATAACAAAATAATATAATATGTACTCAAGTTACAATAATTGAAAATACAGGGTGTAGGTGTAAGATGTGGATGTGAGTGTTAGTGTGGGTGTGCAGTATGTGCTCAGTTAATCTACACTTACACCCACCCTCATTCACACACCCATACTCACATTCACACCCACATTTTTAGAATGTGAACGGTGAAAAAATGCCACCTTTACGGCAGTCAACTTTGTGAATAAGCACTGTTTTTGGTTGGTAGTATTAGTATTATTTGACGAAGAAATACGGTCCAAAATTTATCCGTATCGTAAATGGGTCATATATTGACCTTATACATTGCGTTACGACCACTTAAATCCATCCATAAGGTATTTGTAAATGGGCCGAGCCATCAAAAACTTACTCAATGTCGAGGCTCGCTATATAGCACACTGGTGATTAGGACAGTCAGGTATCTATGATAAAGACAACAAAAAGTGAGTTTATATGTTATCATAGTGAGGTAATATAAAGGGTATGAGTTAGTTACACATAAGCACACCTATAGATTACATTCTTTTTTGTAATGACTGAAGTTCAAATCAAACAAGACAAAATGCTCGATGATACAGAATATCCCATTGTCGACTTGTCTTCTTACCTCACTGATCAAGCAAAGGCGTCTGGAGACTGCAAAAGGATTGCTGATCTTCTGTACAAATTCGGTTTTCTGTGCGTCAAAGATCCACGCGTAAATTATACGCACAATGAAAGATTTATCGATATGCTGGAAAAGTACTACGGCCAAAGTGACGAGATTAAGGCCAAGGATATACACGAAGAAGTTTTCTACCAAGTTGGTCTCACACCAGCGCACACTGAGCATGCTCGTGATCGTTGCGATTTTATAGCAAAACTCGACAGAACAGAGAAGCCTCTCACTATCTGTCCACCAGGTAAATTTTTGTTTGCACTTTACTCCATGCTGAATATGTTTATTATTTGTAGATCTAGATAACAAACAGCGTTTCTTCTGGAGAATTGACGACGAGCCGCCACACACTGAATTTCCACAAATGCATGCGGATCCTGTCATTCCGTACAATTTTCCCGAGTGGAAATCAGTAATGGACAATTGGGGAACGCTCATGCTTGCAACCGTGATAACCGTTGCAGAGATGTGTGCGTGTGGTCTCGGTCTGCCCTTTGATACGTTCACATCGCTAATGAAATATGGACCACATGTACTTGCTCCCACTGGTTCGGATCTTGCGCGCTTCGGAAAGCTAGGAACCGTGTTGGCTAGCTTTCACTCCGACATTGGCTTCCTCACCATTCATGGGCGTGCACGTTTTCCAGGTCTATTTGTTTGGACGCGCGAGGGCAAACGATTGGCTGTCAAGGTTGCACAAGGATGTCTATTATTGCAAGCCGGCAAACAATTTGAATGGCTGACAGGTGGTCAAGTTCTGGCTGGTTTCCATGAAGTTGTCGTCAGTGAACAAACCGTTCAGGTGATTGATGAGGCATCCAAAGTCGGCCGATCGCTATGGCGCGTTTCATCCACAATGTTCACACATATTGCTAGTGATCGTATATTACAACCTTTGAAACCCTTTGCGACTCCTGAGACAATGAAGAAATATCCTCCAATCAAAGCAGGTGCACAAGTCCTAGCTGAACTGGCAGCTGTAAATCTGGGTAAAACATTAGATGCTGATGGTGAACCTATAGTTGCGGCTATGTGATAAATGTCATGTACAATAACTATATTTTCTGTTTTATGTATTAAAATGTGTCTAAAGAGCAGTGAAGTCAATCAACACCACTCAGAATACAAAAATGTGGAAGTCGGAAATTTTAAAAGCCAACTTTGTGATGCGTGCGCCTTCCCCAGGAAAAATCTTCGGTACTTCCATTCTTGGTCGTTGACAGACTCGCCAAGAATCCTCAAAGATTCTCTATTTTTCCCTGAAGAAATGCTAAAATCCTGAAGAAAGCGTGCAGCCACGGAATTTCAAGATCTCGACAGGATTTAAAAGAGAATTCAATCAGGGATCTTGAAGGTTTACCACTGTTTTTTTCAACTAGAAATGAGGTCGTGGCAAACCTCAAATTATTACCAATTTTCACTGAATCTCTGATCGCTGATATTTGATTGTTGGTCAAGATATCAGCTATTTACTTGCACTATAAGTTTCTGAGAAACCACCAGAAAAGCAGAAATAAACCCATACTATATACTTCTAGATTTCAGGAATATGAGTGTGAAATCTCTAATTTCTG